CCTTCTTGGATTTGCTAAGTAGTTTTTGAAATTTTCTTCTTTGTTTTTTTATATATCCATCTTTCTTGCATATACTAGAGTATAATATCATTATAGAATATTATTAAATATTTTGATTGATTTAATAAATCATGAGAGTTAGAATGACATAACAAAATATTTTGATTAAATAAATATTTATAAATATAATCTCTATTTTATAGGAACATATCTCAAAGATAATCTTATTGCTTTATCATAAAAAGACAAGTATAATTTCCTTTTTATTCTTTAACACCAGATAAATATACAATTCTAAAGAGAAACAGCTTAGGAATTAGAATAAAGTGGAACAGAGTATTGTTGTAAATGTACTTTAACTTTATGATTCTCTTACTTCCAAATTACACCGTTAAATATAACCCATATTATACATGAAAGAATTATATAATTATTAAATTATTTATTTTATGTTTGTGTTCTGTAATTATTTTGAGAATATTTAATAGTATTTAATTTTATTCTATTGACCCATTTTAAATATGAAGCCAATTTGAATTTAATTCAATAATATATAATTCGATGGGTGATAGACAATCACATCAACATCAGGCATAAACTTATCAATAGAAATAAAGTCAAGAGGAAGCACTAATCAAATTTTACGTTTACCAAGACCTACAGAATTTGATTAACTTAATTTATTCCAGGAATGCTGTACTTGAACACTTTAAGGATGATCCCAATAATTCTATAGTTACCTTGAGTAATAACAAAGTTATTTTATAATTAAATTTATCAATTGGAATTCATCAAGATCTGAAATAATAATATTCCAGAAACCATAATTTATAATAGATATTACAAAGGGAAAGAAATACTGCATATTAGACACTAAAGGATGTAACTCAAAAATCATAGAGGTAAATTAGCACTTCAAATCAAACCAAAATATTCTTAAAAGATTCAGTCGAAAATTATCTAAATACATATACATAAAATTATGAAATGGGCTATTTTGGATCGAATCAATTTTAATTATAGTAAACTAATTATGCGCCTTAATTTAATGAACAGACTTTATCGAAATTGATTTCCTCAATGCAATCTATTGATGCCTAGACTAATTAAATAGGTACGAATGGTAACTATCAGGCTCCAACTCCAGAATATATTTTATAAAGAGCATAGTAATTTTCCATTTTATTTTAGAGACTATTATTCTATGACTAAATAAAAGCTGGATTAATCTGATCCAACCAATTGTTCAGCACAGTTGAATAACAAATAAGAAAACTATTCTCAAGGCAACAATAGTCTTACTGCAAATAATATCGCAAGTAAATAACCATAACCTGAGTAATATTCTGAAGAAATACAATTAAATAACAAATAAAAAAGTTAAATTATAGTAGATAAATAAAGAAATCAGTAATCGTCCTCAAATTCTGATTAAATGCAATTAAATAACAAACAAGAAAGCTAGTGTCAGGGCTGCGGAAGTTTTAATACAAATAATAGAGGAATTCAAGAATAATTAAATTCATCGAATTCTGAATAAGATAAATAATTGATAAATGCTAATCTTAGTTAAGAGAAGGATAAATTAATTGAGTTTCTTAAACTTTCAGGATATTTCCAATAAACTCATCCTTATTTAAATTCATAAATTGAAGATTTGTAAGGTAAAGCCAAAACCTTAATGAATTAAAGTTATTTAACATAAAATGAATATGATTTTGCAATAAAACTGTCAAAATAAAATGGTGTTTTCAAACTTCTAATAAGTTTACACTACTATTTTGAATTGTTTCTTGAATATTTTAATGAAAATAGACCTTCTTAATCAATTTAATAATTTTTATGTCAAAATAAAAATAAAGGAAAAATGAATGTCCCTTTTTTGTAATATTTGGTTTCAAAGAAGCAATTGATAGAAAAGAATTTTGATTCTAAAAATTAGATTAACTATTCTCAAGCATCATCTAATCAAGAAGATTTTGTTTTTGAAATGTATAAGGGCTATTGTGATTATTATAAAATTACAAGGAATTGATTAATTAAATCTTGTATAAGAATATAAAACTCATAAATAGGGTAATATTCCATGTTAAACAAAAACAGCCAAATGTAATTAAATTTTTAATTTGAAATTCTCTATTCATTTAAATCACAAACCATATATATGTAACATCATAAAAATAATATAAACTGAAATCAATGAAATATTAATCTCATAATTCAATCTGCAACCTCATCTCATAATCTCATCATTTCCTTTAAAAATAAAAATGCCATATCCCTATTTTCACTTTCCTTAGATACACATTAATAACGACAAATTTTCACATCCATTCTTAACCTTAATAAAACTCAAATAATATCAAAAAGAAACAAATTACTTAGTTAAAACAAATCATATACCTATAATTTATCTTGATCTTCTGTTTTCTCATAAAATCTCTAATTAGAATAATAAAATTTAATATTAATTAATTAAATTGAAAATTAATTATTTTTGCTAAAGAATTGATACAAATAAGAAATATTTATATTATATTAGTGCTTGGTTT